TCCTTCCTTATTTCTGCATTAGCTTTAGCCATATCAGACTATGGGGACATTTCAAATAGAAATTATTGACATGTACAACAAGTTTTATCAATTCTTTTTAAAGACATAAATCGGGTCAGCAAGACAGTCGAAGTTTTTATTTTTTCATATCAACCATATTTATTTCTTTAAGCCGAGTCAACCCTAAGTATTCTCGTTTATGATGCACGGATACGGACATGGGACACGGGATACGACACGACATGACACGCCGACACGTTAATTCTAAAAAATGTCATATTTCGACACGTTAAGACACGTTTTGATATTAAATAAATTTTTTAATATATATAATATAATTTATATTTAATACACATAAGAGTCCATAATAAGTCATATAACTAATCAAATATTTAAATTTCATAACATAAATATAAATATAAATAATTTTTCGTACTTTGTTAATTTTTCATGTCAAATTTCATAACAGAAAGAAATTAATTTATAAATTATTTCTTTTATATTTAGTTAACAAAATAAAATTAAGATTAAAAAAAAAAGTGTCCGAGCATGTCCTAGCGTTGACCGCGTGTCCGAAAAAGTTGACTGCATATCGGAAAAACGTGTCGGAACGTGTCGGAGAGTTAACCGCGTTTTCCCAAATGTTGACTGTGTGTCGGACGCGTGTCCGAGCATGTCGGAGCGTGTCCGTGTTGGACACGTGTCCGACACGCAATTTTTTTTGCAAGTAGCGTGTCCGTGCTTTGCTGATTCTCATAAACTTCAATTTTTTGAGGCAATTATAGGACAACTCCTAAATATTTCCAGAAGCTTCAACATTTTGAGACAACTATGATGAAATTGATTCTTAGTCGAGATTTAGTCATAGTTAAAACTATTCGTTACTCTCTAAAGATGTATTTGATGGAAATCGAATCTCAGTTCTCTCGCTACCTCCTCAGCCTATGTTGCTGATTGAGTTACATACAGTTGTCAACGCAACATAACCATTTTCCTCATTTACGGTGCTACTAATTTTGCTAAGATTTTGAGATACAAAGTGGAGGGTGGTGAATTAACTAATACAATAATCTCCACAATCTTGTACTTCTCATTTCCTAGCTGGAGGTTCAGTTCGTATTCCCTACGCCCCACCAGTTCACTTTTCTTTCATTTTGAAAATAATTGGAATATTCGATACTTTATTAAAAAAAGAATACATGAATAATTTCAGATTCATGTGACATAATTCAAAGATTGGCCATGATGCCAAAAAGATTATTTTGAAAACGTGGTGACGGCATGATAAAAATAACATTTTTGTTTTCACTAGCAGAAATCTTCCTGGAGTCCATATGAGAGTTTTGTGTCGCATTTGGTGACTTTATAATTTTGAACAAAATTTGTTAATTGCGATCATTATTATAGATCTTATAAGATATCATTAAGGTTTGTTAAGATATGCACACATAAATTAAAATATTTGATGTGACTGCGGTTGAAACAGGTGTAGAATATCTTGCAGTTGAATTTTGCACCTAGCTAGCTAGGAGTATCTTAATTGTGCTGATGTTTGAGACAAATTAATAGTTGATTGCAACGAAGATTAAACAGGAGTTCGATAGATGACACATTACACTTCCTAAACAAATGTGAATTAATGACTATATAGAAGTTTAAAATGCCATCTTTTTTGTTTATGGACTGAGAGACTGTGCTGACCAACCACCTTTTTGTGTGTGTGTGGGGTTTTGTGTTGGTAATGCGGGTTTCCTTATTTTCAAATGCGTGATCATTCATTCTTACAAGTCTTTGGCTCAATCAAAGATAGTGCCAGAAGATAATGGTAGTGGCTACTCATTCTGATTCTTCCAGTTTTGACACGTTACCATATGCTCAAATGAACTCAAACTTGTCTCATCTCGAATTATATAAGTCTCTTCATTGGTAGGAGAAAAATAACTAGTCATCAATTAATATAGGGAGGGATTCGTATATACATTATTAAGTGTTAATTTTATTTGTATCTAACGATTTTAATTTATCGAAAATGAGAGACATGAACCAGCTAAATGAAAATAAAATCATTCACTGCATGAGAATGAGAGCATATGATCGATATGACCTTTTCTCATATTCTTATCTGGTTATCATTCATTCAATGCAATGGATGAATTCAATCCATTTAGAAGCTTGTCAAATGTATGAAAGACAGATTCAATCTTAATTGGATCACTTCATTTTTTTCCCCCACTCATCGTCCAAGATATTATTGGTGTCAAATTATAAAAGTGGAGGTGACATGCATGTGGACCTGTGGTTCGCTTCGATCGTGGTGTTTTTTTTTTTTTTTTCTTTTTGAATGTTGGGTTATGAATTATTGAGTTTCGTACAATAATCGCACTTATAAGTAGTCAAAATAGAATTCATATGATGGCAATCTTTCGTTCATGTAACAATTCCAATGTGTGTGTGTTGTTTCTCCGAGTTCAATGATTATAGGGAGTTTTGAGTGATTGCCACTTTTGTCAGTAATTAGATAAGTAGTACATAAGTGTTCAAAAAAGAAAAGAAAAGATAAGTAGTACATTTATCGTTTCTTCTGTTGTCATATTGCACTGCTTTTTCAAGTACAGCGTTATCTGTTGTGCGCTTCTTATTGGTTCATTTCTGGGTTCGCCATGCGATGTATGTCGCTTTGAGTTTGCCTTGCCAGGCAATGAAATTGCAACCATGGCATATTTTGTTTGTTTCGTCACCTAACTTAATTGTGTGTTTTTTAACATTATGTACAAGTGTATTATTGTCGTTGGTTCTCTCTCTCTCATGCTTAATTAGTGTGCGGATGGTGTAATCATATTAGGAAGGGTTTAAAGTCTTAATTCTGAAACCGCCTCGAATCGGATTAGTCGCGAAGCGATGAACCGATGATAATATTTCTAAAAAAAAAATATATCTTTGTTTTTGAAAGTATTAGAATGTGTTAATTTGTTTCAACATTTTTTTAAAAAAAAGATTTTGTTATATAACATATTTTAAAATTAAGTGACCGTCTCAAGTGCCAAAATCACTACTACTAAGTTCTAAAAGTGGCTAAGGCTAATTAACTACGAAAGTTTATTAGGTCCAAATCGAATATAACTCTATTATGAAGGAAAAAAAGTAATATAACTGTAACATGTGCCTAATATGAATTTGCTTAAATTACAGGTTACGTTGGATCGTGTGTTAGATTAAATTTTAGGATGAATGGCCCCTTGAATTTAGCATTTTGTACACAAATACCCTCAATCAAGTCTTATATTTTAATTATTTATTTATTTCACTTGAATTTGATTTTTTTCAACTTTATTACATGACATTTTTTGAGGTTAAAATGACTAATGATGGCATCACAGATTCACAAGCAAGTAACAGGATATTTCTGGTAACCTTTTGACGATTTGCTTGATGCGAGGGAGTTTTGCGTTCAAAGTATATAAAGCTTGAGAAATTATTTTTGCAGTTTCAAATCTTAAAATCAAATCAAATATGCACATATATATCGCATAGTTGAAAGGTGTACGTTGCAATTTAACTATACAACTTTTAATCAAAATGACTATAAGTTGAAGAGGAAAATACAATTATATAAATCATTAACTGATAATCAAGATTTAAAAATTTTACGATACACTGCATACATTTTTATTATCTCATGAGTACTATTTTTATTTTTTATTTTTTTGGGGTGGGGGTGTTAAGTAGAGTACTTTTTTTCCTTTGGTTCATAAGCTCAACTTGTTTAGGCGTCTTATTTTTTTTTTTGGTACAGGAACTTGTTTAGGCGTCTTCTGAAGCGACGAAAGCCCACAAGGTTGAGGCCCAGATAATACCCAAGAAAGGCCTGACACGACAGATTCTACAAATTCAATGGATCCAAGACCTCAAAATCACTTGATGAAGTCAAAACCTAAATTAGAAATGCTGATGTTATGTTGTTAAAAAATAAATAAATCATACTGATGTTATGAGGACACAAATTAAATATGAGATTAGATTGTCCATTTCATTCTAATATATATTTTTGGGTTTAATTTTATTGTATTAAACTTAAATACATTATTTTTCTAAAATTGTACTGTTACCTACAACTTTTAAAAATGAGTAGAGTTAATCATTTTTAATTTTCTCTTCACCATAATGATACATAGATGATAAGAGCAAATACATGACAAAGAGTTGGACAAGCTTCCCAGCTAAACGATGCCTATCATACTACAAATTTAGTTTCATTAATTATTGATCCTTTTTTTCATATTATTATTACTCCCTAATTAATAAAAGATAAAGTTGTTCAAAATCCCCCTAATTCCCCAACCAGATCCTCCTTTAAATTATGTAAAAAATATTTGAAACCACAAAAGGTGCAAGATATGGATAGCATTCTCCTTCATATTATTATTATTATTGACTCAGGCTAAAATTCAGGTCTTTATTATAAGCTGTTCTATTTCTTTTTTGGGTAATAACAATTAGTTGACTAAAACCTATTATTATTATTATTATTATTATGATGCATAACATGAGAAATGTTATTATTTGTTATTCAAGTGTGTGTGACAGAGGAAAAAATAAAAAGAGAGGATTTGATATATTTACATTTTTATTTTTGTCTAATAAAATAATAATAATGATATATTAAAAACATAAAACCTAAAAGAGAAAATCATGTTAATAATAAAAATATAAAAATAATCCTAATATTATTTTGAAGTCGTTAAATAATATTTTTTAATACTGAATGATTTGAAATGTAAATCAACAAGTCGTTTCAATGTATTAGTCTTATTTAATTTCTTAGCTCATCTTCCATCAAGTCGTTGTAGTATAGTGGTAAGTATTCCCGCCTGTCACGCGGGTGACCCGGGTTCGATCCCCGGCAACGGCGTTTTTATTTTTTTTTCTTAGCTCCGTTTTGTTTTGGGATTAGGAAAACATTACAAAGCTAAGAGGTGGTAGATAAACGCAGTTGGAAGGGCCATGGGGTGGGGTCACATTGGAAGTCATGGCTACTCCACCTCAGATTCCGGTAACGTTGCGGAGGCAGGTCCTAGCACCACCACCGCACCACGGCGGTTCCCTCTGGCGGCTCAGCCGGAGATGATGCGAGCTGCTGAGAAGGATGATCAATATGCCTCTTTCGTTTATGATGCTTGTCGCGACGCCTTCCGCCACCTCTTTGGTTCCTCTCTCTCTCTCTCTCTCTCTCTCTCTCTCTCTCTTATAATAATAATAATTATTATTTGTTAATTGTCTTAACTCTCGGTACACAGGTACGAGAGTTGCGGTTGCTTACCAAAACGAGGTAACCACTAACCACTCTCTTGTTTATATGTTTCAATCCGATGATGTTTTGTTTCAACTTTTAACATAAAGTAACTGTGCTTTAGTGTTAATTTCTCTGTAGACAAAACTTTTAGGGCAAATGCTTTACTATGTTCTCACAACAGGCTCTGGACAACAAACCCTTGGAGAGGAATACTGTGACATCACTCAGGTTGAGAATTGGAAATGATGTCTTTCGAATTGGCATTTTTTTTTTGTACCTGATTTTGATATATTCCTTAATTGTTCTGGCATCTGATAGTTGGTGATTTGGTTTATTAGGTTGCAGGACCTTATGGACTTCCTCCTACCCCTGCAAGGCGCACTCTTTTCATTGTTTACCAGACAGCTATTCCTTATATTGCAGAAAGGATTAGGTTGATTATCACACTTTTTTCATTGTTCTTTGAATCATCACTGTGAAAGAGTTAGTGTTGTATGTCTGTCAAATTTTATTGATGACTTGATTATTTAATTTCACAGTTCTAGAATTGCTTCCCGAGGCATTTCCCTAGCTGACTCGGAGTCTGCTGAGAGTTATGGTGAAACTGCCCACGAGAGCAGTAGTTCTCGCGTTTCTGCCGCGGGTGAACTCCCTCCTTCGTCCTCATCAGGACGATCTTTTACAACTCTGACAAGGTTGAAGGAGAAACTGAGTAGATTTTGGTTGCATTTGGTTCAGAGATGGCCTACGGTATGTTAATCCTGTTGATATGTTGCTCATTCAACACTTATCATGAAGTCAGTATATTGTCCTTTTGGATACAAAACTATTACAACCATATATTGTTATCTGTTCTTTTAATTATTAGGGAAGTTACGAGTTCGATTTTAATGGGCCACTCCTTCTATGGAACAGCTATTGTCTCAGCCCCTTTGGAGCTGTTTTTCTTAAACATAGTCTGATTACATTTAATTGGCTTAGTTAAAAGCATAATTTCTAGTTTTTATGTCCTGCCATTAGATGCTCCCTTTTGTTCGCGAATTGTTGCAGTTGGTTCTTCGTGCTAACCTCATGTTGTTCTACTTCGAAGGTGATCCTTTGCTTTGACAGGCTCATGACAGTCATTATGTATAAAAGCAAGTTTTCTAAATCTTGGTATTATTTCTTTTTGCAGGCCTCTATTATCATATATCCAAACGTGCTGCAGGCATTCGTTATGTGTTTATTGGAAAAGCATCTAATCAAAGACCCAGGTAATGTCTTTTGAAATTTTATGGTTTGAAAAATATATGGTCCATTGGGGAAATTTTCCTCTCATTTTAACTAGATATTACATAGTATGATCAGTGTTATCCATCCCTACGGTTCTGTTTTCATTTTATGTAGTATCAACTTCTATTTTGTTCTTGTTTTCATGTACTAAACCTTGGGATAGATGACCCCTTGAAATTGCATTGTAAAAGGTCTTCATGCAAATGACAGTTTGTATTCTTATTCACTAAGTCTGATTTCCTTTCTTATGAAACATAAACGTGACCTTTTATAATCGGAGATTGCCTTTGTTTATTCCACGAACCTAAGTTTCTCTATCATTTGTTATCAATCATTGTAATAACCATGTTTCTTCTCTTGAGGTTTTAGATTTAGAGCACCTGTCCTCTATATATAATTTGGCTTATGCGCAGATACCAAATACTTGGAGTATTTCTGCTGATTCAACTTTGTGTAATAGCTGCTGAAGGGCTGCGTCGAAGAAATTTAACTTCAATTGCTGGTTCAGTTCATCAGGCGTCCTTTGTAACCCACCATAGATCTGCAGGTTATAGATTTATTTTTTTTCAATTTATTATTTCAACTGATTATTTATCAGTTATTTTTCTTATTTTCCTTGTTCTTAATTTTTATATATAGTCTAATAATGTGCTTTGGACATTTCTCTGCTTTTTCCATTAGTTTTTATCATAACCTGACTCCATTAACATGTATTATAGGACATGGTTTGCCTGTTTTAAATGAAGAAGGCACTCTGGCAGCTCCAGATACCGACAAAGGAAGTTGGGTCTCTGATTCTTCATCTTCCGAGGTTTAGTACTCTCATCAAATCATCCTTTTCTCCTTTTGATGATGATATTTCAGTGCATGGTTGTTGCTTTGAGTGAGGTTGAAGGTGACAAGTTGTCATATATATGTTATTTAACTAGGAAAATATAGGATATGCAGTGGGATAAACATATTGCTTTTGACTTATACAGTTGTGTTGATCTGTTCTGATTTGAATGACAATGTTTAGGCGGGCCTAGGACCACAGAGAGAAGTTTTGAAATGTGAGGAGTTTTGTTCCCATAGGGCACTGGGAACAAAAGTGGAAAGTATTTTATAAAAAATAAAACATATATTATACTGGGAACACAAAAATCATTTAATACTTGCTTTTTTTAGTAATTAGAAATAAATGCTTCTTAACCAGGGCATTCCTAATTAACAATATAAAGTATATACATTGATTACATAGATATGCTTCTACCGATTTTGTTCCATAATGAATTAGAATTTGTATAATCTGCTTTGTGTGATTGGAGTGTGATAAGAACCTTGGGATGCACCACCCCAAAAGCTAGCTCAAAGGGTGGGAGTGCCCAAGGCCTTATAAACCCCACATTAGGTTCCCATACAACCAATGTGGGACTCCAAGTCCCATACCTTGCAAATGGGTCCCTAACATTCCACCATGCTCCGCAGTCCCGGCGCCCACGCAGGCTGGCTTTGCGCTAGTCTTTTACTAGCCCCGGGCGAACACTGCAATGTCGGCGTCACCACCCGCGCCTCTCGATTGCAACCGGGAGATATAGTGGAAGGCTCTGATACCATTTGATAAGAACTTTGGGATGCACCACCCCAAAAGCTAGCTCAAAGGGTGGGAGTGCCCAAGGCCTTATAAACCCCATATTAGTTTCTCATACAACCAATGTAGGACTCCAAGTCCCATACCTTGCAAATGGGTCCCTAACAGAGTGCTGGTTAATTTCCCTTTCATGTTTGTAACTTGTTTGGAAGAGGGCGAGCCTGGAACAGTGGTAAAGTTTCTCCTTTGTGACTGAAAGGTCACAAGTTCAAATATAGAAAATAGTCTCTTTGCAAATATGTAAGGGTAAAGGAGCGTACAAGGATTGTCCTCACCCCTATCCTCACGAGTTGGGGTTTAATGGAGAGTGGTTTGGTTTGTAATTTTTATGGGTCCTGTATAAGAATGTATTAGTGCTTTGGCTAAGTTCCAAATTTTCCCCACTTTGGGCGATTATTGGTTAAATGCTGCTGATAAAGAACATGCTTGATAATGTGCATTGCCAAGATCTAAAGAGCTTCACAGGAAGCCTATTGTCTATTGAGAAATAGTGGAGTTACCATAGCAGAATTAAATATAAAGCCTTAAGAGGATTTGATAGCTCGATCATGTCATCTTAAAAACATCTAGTGTCTCAGCAAATGAATCCTTTCATTTTGCAGTATCGTGCAACTAGTGGAGTTAGCAAATGCACACTTTGCCTGAGTAATCGTCAACATCCAACAGCTACTTCCTGTGGCCATGTATTCTGCTGGTATTGTCTTCCTGCATTCTTACTGCGTTTCACGTGCCCCGCTCCTTACTCTGTCTCTCATCTTCTGTATGATGTGATCCATGTAGGAACTGTATCACAGAATGGTGCAACGAAAAGCCAGAATGCCCTCTTTGCCGCACCCCCATAACACACTCAAGTCTAGTTTGTGTTTATCATTCGGACTTCTAGAATCTGTCAGCTGCAAAATCTTTTGGACATAGAAAGAAGGTAGCATGAAAGACTACTATCACTGGAGGGTGATTCTGCGTTAGTTTAGTTATTTCACTCCTAAACGGGTTGTGCTAGTAAGATTTATGCCAACTATCAAGGAAGTTCTCACACTTCAAAATAATAGTCGTAATCATGTTGAAAATATACCCATGTTGGATGTTTATTTCATGGACTTTGAATACTTTTAACTGTATTTTGTATTTTTTTTTTTTACTTTTATTCTTTTAAATATTTATGCCAATACAGATGAGAATATTAAAATAGTTAGACAAATAATAATATTGTATCATGTTTATAATGTCTCATTAACTTTTAAAATGTTTATAATTTCTTTATTTAAGATTTGCGTTTTTATGTTAATTTATATGTTATATTATAAATGTATTTGTATCGTAATATATCTGTGTTTCGTATCGGCATTCTGGCCCACAAGGTTAAATCGTAAACTCTAAACGCACAAACCTTTTGATCCTATTCTGTTTTGGAAACATCAATATTGGCATGAGGCATACCTTTTGTGAAGAAAATTCTTGCTCCAACTAGCTAGCTAATTGGATCATTTCAGAAGACCATGGCTTCCAGAAAATTGCCTTGCCTCTGCAGGAACTGGCTGCTTAGCTTCTTCTGTTTTAGGTATTCTTTCTTAGGTTGCAATACCATGAATGCTTTCTAAGTTTGCGATGTTGCTCGAGTTTATTTGATTTTGGGCTTAGGCCCTTCACTCCAATAAAAAATGTTTCGAATTTACACTAATTTTTGTTTAAAAAATGATTAACAGCATTATTCATTAGTATTGTAAAAATCTCGTATTGACAACTTAGACAATGAATTTTGCAAGAATTTCTCTCTCTCTCTCTCTCTCTCTATATATATATATATATAATAGTATTAAAATAAATAAAGTTGAGAGAATATTAATTTATCTTATTCAAAACCTTTTCAAAAGAACACATTTGAAACGAAATTTTTTGGAGAAAAATATTTTTGTAAATTTTTTTGAAGAAAAATGTTTCGGTAAAAAATGTTGATGGAAAAAAAGTTTCGTCAAAATTTTTCACAGAATCTAAATTCCGTCGAAATTTTCAACGAAACACATTGAGAAAATATTTTTCGGCAGAACACATTTCTATTGAAAATTTTGGACAGAAAATATTTTGTCAAAATTTTTGACAGAATTCTTTTTTCGTCGAAAATATTTAAGAAATTATTTTCATCAAATTTTTTGATGGAAACTAAACTCTGTTGAAAATTTCGACAGAAATTTATTTCTGTCAAAAAATTCAACAGGTAAAAATTTTTGTCGCTTTTCTATGAAAAGTATTCCGAGGGAAAAATACTTTTTCGAGGGAATTTTCGTCATTTGAAACGTAGAAATTTCGTCGAAAATATGATCTTTTTTAGTAATATGAAAAGTACATAAATAGTTTTGTTAGAAATTTTAAATTAATTTTATTTGTAAAATATAATAATTATATTAATTTTTAAAAAAGGTTAACATGGTAAAAAAATCTTATTAACCCTCAATTTTTCTCTCTTACCATTTTTTTAACTCCCAAACAAGGGAAGTTAATACCCTCCAATTTCGTTACCTTCTTTCTTCTCCCTCCCGCTTGGATTCCCTTCCTTCCCCTCCCTCCAAACTCCCAAACAAAGCCTAAAACAACATTGCTTTGAGTTCCTTATTGTACAAAGGGATATGTCAGAGCGGGACCCTTCCTGTTAAGCCAAAAAATAAATTTTCAAAAAATTAGTTTTCTTTAGGGTAAAAGAAATATTTAAAATTTTATCAATAATTAGCACAATTAATTTTAGGTAACTGTTTTTAAATTGGATGGTGTAAGGTACTAATACATTTACTACTCATAATTGACTCCCAGATTAATTTATGTTTTTAAAGACCAATTTTCCTAAACAAAAGGATCTTTTTCAATGTTTTTCCAAATAAACTTTAGTGGCAACTCAATTGTTTTTAACCTTTAATTTTCAAATTCATCACCGTCACATTGTGATCCGGCTGTGATAGCTTGTGATTCCATTGTGGTCGCTATTCTTGTAGTGTGATGGTGGACTTTTCCTATAGGCATGTGGAAGGTATGAGTCTTCGGCCTCCACCTCTCTACCAATGCTTTAATAAGTGTATGGTCAATCCGAAAAATAAGATACTCATTTACAAAAATAAAAATAAAAAAAATAAGATACCCATGTTATCCGTAACATGTGAAAATAAAGGACTAGAATTATAGCAAAATTAAAACATATTGGTAGTTGTCTCATGCAGGCAGCAGGCTAAAACCCTGCATGAATCAGGTGCGGAGATATTGTATGGGTCATACACATCCCCCAAAGATCCCTTTGAGGCTCGTCTCACCTTCAAAATATTGGAACGTCCATCATTCCAAACAGGCTGGGAGATATGCATTTGCTACACATTAGAATCAAGTATGTCCCACTTTTTGGGATCAGGCTCAATGCAATGGAGCTCACAAGCCATTTAACTAATAAAAATTTACGAAAAATCATAATTACTATTTTTAAATTGCAACATTCGTTACTTAATTGCCAAATTTTAATGTCAAATAATTATATTTAAAAATTAGCTATAATAGCCGATAATCTTAGAAATTTTAAAATAACATATCCAAAATTTTACAGTAAATAAATATAATCGTTTCTTAAAAACATTAAAATGGTTGTTATCCTAATGTTTAAAACATACATACAATACCTAAATGTTTAAAACATACATACAATACCTAAATGTATTATATATAAACCTAAATAATGGCCAAATAACATATTAAAAATATTAAAATAATTAACTAAATGACAATGTTACAAACTATAATATAAAATAGGCTTCTATCCTAATGTTTCATACCTGACATATATAAATTATTTATAAAATAATAAAAAATTGGATACTTATATGTATTGGTGAATTCCAGATTAAGTAGATAGAGATTTGGCAAAATTCTACAGAGTGAAGGGTTTGGAGAGAAGTTGAAGAGAGATAAAATGGAAGAGAAAATAAGATGAGGAGGGGGGACTTCGTCTGGTTTTAGTGGGGCAAAACCACATTAATTATATGCAGGACAAGCTCGTATCAGTCAGCTGCAGGACTGATGACATGGCCAGAAGTGATGCACAAATCAAGTACGGAACTTGTGACATGGCAGTGAGTATCATATTAGTCAGAAGCGAGACTGGTCTCGTATGATTTGATTAATTATTTTATTGCATTACATTGGAAAATCTTTTTCAATATGCATTAATTGGGCAATTCTTTAAATGAATTGCTTAGGTATGGTCTTTTTGCCATATGGATCCTGTTATACTTTGTTCTCGTGGAATTTTCAGCAGAACATAGTTGTGGCAGCCTTTGGTTCTAAACTTGTCTCGTCCAACAAAACATGTGTTTAATATTTTGATGGATCAAGACTTCTTTCTAATAATATTTTGCTTATTTCACATATCAAATCATGGCTTCCTTTGGTCCTAATGCTTCGTGAGAATTTAAAATAATGGAAAGTCTGGCAGTCAAATATAGATGCCATTTTGTAATTCTGCCTTGCCCTCATAAACTATTACAAAAGTAAGGACACTTGGGCAATTCATTGCCTTCCCCCTAGTTTAAAGTAAAGCTAATGAACAATGATAGTAGTTAAGTTAGAACATGGGAGCAGAGCAGATATGGGAAGAGTATGTGTTCGATTCTCTCCACTATTATTTTTGGAAGGGATTTGAAATTTCAATCCTAAATCTGCTCCGAATACAATTGTCTCATGTGGATAATACTTGTCGTTTATAAAAAAGAAGAAGAGAGAGTAAAGCTAATGAAAGTGGTGAGATACCTAGTGGGCTAAAGTGCGAAATCTTAGAATAGTATTTTGCTTTTTACTTTCTAATCTTATTCTTACCCCGTTGCAGAACTTTGCTTTTACCTAATTTTTGTTTGATTGTTTGAATTTCGAAAGCAAATGTTTTTCTTTAACATTGGATTATTATATTCTCAAATATTCTTACAATAATCTGTTTGCATATTGAGTTATGGAAAAGACTCACCAAAATACAAGCAAATTGGCTATCTGCCATCTGTCAAGCGGTACATAGAGTAAATAAATAATTAAAGCAACCCCTTTAGTTAGTAATAAGATTTTTTGCTCATGAATAAAGAAGAAACAAAAGGATAATTTATCTTGCAAGTCCCACCCAATTTAAGCGTAACTAGGTGTTAGTGTGGGACTACCATGTGTCTCACAATGTTCCAATGTGGGACTTCTAGCGTGGCAGAATTATCCCATAGGTTGTGCATGCGAGAATGATCAGTGTATGACTTTAACTGCATTAGTCCGGTATAATTTAGAAAATACACATTAATAAAGCATTTCTTTATAGGTTTCACCTTTGAATGGTCAAAAAGGCATATATGCTATGAATACATCTAAATACTATATTATGCATATGTGTGATCTGTTGGATATATTAATAAAATAATCCAATAGTATATTTATATATAAGCCCAATAGGTGAAAGCATGGTTTTTTGGGTTCATATGGGCTGGAGCCCAATAGCTTGCGTTATCTCTAGGGTTTCCTAAGCTAGAGGTAACACTGTTGAACATTCCAAATTCGATATCTCTTGGTGTAATACTTCAAGCACCAACACTGCCACCAAACCTTTTTCTCTCAAACTCATTACCTCCAACAATCTTGAAGTATTAGCTTCGTGTGTCGGATTTGAGCGAGTAAGGTGTCTATTCGAAGATCTCATCAAATGGAACTCATATTCTAAATCACTTTCGCGATTCGACTAAAGGATTTACCGGGATATGAGTTTGAAGAAACTGGAGCCGTAAATTTTCAGTCCAGATCTCAGAAAATTCGGCCATTTTCAGAAAATTAAACCTAATGGGCTTTGTTCTACTCGTCGAGACGATCGTTTTGAGTGGTCACTCACCTTAAACGGAGATCGGACGAAGGAGATATGGCCATTTGAAGTTTTAGGTACACTTTTATGCGAAAAAAATATTCCCGTGAAAAGAAATATTTCGAGGGAATATTCTATTAGTTGGGGAATATTCTGTTATTGAACATTTCAATAATAAGGAAATGTTCTGGTGAGTTTCTGGCAACAAGGGTAGTCCATCTTAAGGTTTTTGGACGCTTCGGATCTACTTTTGGGGTCTGTTTTGGCAAGTTCCAAATCTACAGAGCAATTTGATGAAAGTTAGAGCCTTTGCTTTAATTTGTGAAGTCTATGAACTAAAAGGTGCACTCTTTCTAAC